TTATCCATTTATACATTTTATAAACTAGAAAACCGAGGGTGGCCTTGGGGTACATGCCAGCCACACACTCATAGACAGGAGCTGGAGTTGGGACTTGTTATACACTTCTTTCCAGAGGGACATTGTCACCTGTCAGGACAACCATTGTCACTCTCATTGTCGCCCATCAGGACAACCCCACCCCGGGATGCCTTCCCCATAACCCAACTTCCCTACACGCTGCCTGGCAGGCTTCGGGGCTTGTCTGAGCTCATGTTCACACACCTTAGCTGGGAGAGGGGGTTGTAGTTCAGACCAAGTTTCCGTTTCAATTTTCAAAGAGCAAGAGAAATACCCACTCCCGACCGCACCTGAAATGTAAAGGTCTACACTAACCAGCAGCCGCTTCTCACCTCACCTCTTTCTGCAGACCCTCAAACAGCATGAGACAGCTTGTGCTTAGGCTTCAAACAAAAAAGGAACTTCAAGCTGAAACTACCTTCCTTATCTCTTCCTTTCTACTGCTCTGATGAAATCCCTTGCAACCCATGTCTTCATTGCTACTTCCTAGGTGAAGCCCCCATGTCATCAATGGGCTCATTTCTGTCATCTCCCTGCTGCTGGGGAGCTTGCCCTATGTCACCTTTCACACTGCCTCAGAGAGAATGGGACACAGCTCACGACCCCTTCCAAACTATGAAGCCACCTCCTGCCCCTACCAGTCATTCTAACTTTCTTTGCTTTCTACTCCCCAGTATTCGTGGCTCAGCTGTTTTCTTGTTCTTTTGACCCCACACTGGTGCCTGTGCCTTTGCAATAAGCCCCTCGCTCCAAGAATGTCCTTCAACCACGCCTCATCCCAAGTCAAGACCCATCTTAGATTTTCTTCCTCCCAGAAGTCTTGGCCTTCCTACCCACATACATGCAAGTGTTGTAGCACTGCTGGAACTGTAACATAACTGCTCTGTTTGTATAGCTGACCCTCGCCTTGGAAGGGGGGGTGTCCTGAAGTGTGGATTCTGCCCCCTAGCTCCTTAGTTTGATAGTTAACAAAGCTCTGACACACTGCAGGTAGCAACAGCAGTTCATTATATGAAAGAAGTATAACCTTGTATGAGGACAGGGAGCTTCAAACTGAAATGACCTCGAGGACCAAGTCTCTCTATGGAGATTCATATCATTACATTTTCTCACACTCTCCTTTCCTTTGCAGAGGTCCAGATTCACATCTGGTATCATGTCCCTTCTGTCTGTAGGATTTTCTTTGATATTTGCTTAGTGCAGATCACTGGTAAATTCTTTTGGATTTATGTCTGAAAAAGCTTTTAGTTTTCAAAGATTTTTTGCTGGTTACTGAACTCTAGGTTAATAGTATTTTTCTTTCAGTATTTTAAACCTTCCTCCCTATTATTCCTGAAGGGCAATTAGTCACCATCCTTATATTTACTTCTTCCATATAGAATATGTCCTTTTCCCTCTGATTTTAAGATTTCCTCTTTATCATTGGTTTTAAGCAATTTGATTATCATGTGCCTTGGTGTCGTTTTCTACACCTGTTTCTACAGCTTATTTCTTGAGCTTGGAGTTTGTGGGACATCTTGGATCTGTAAGCTTATCATTTTCAGCCAATTTCAGCCATTTTTAAGCCATTATTTCTTCTTCAAACACTTTATTTCTGTCTCTCCTCCCCTCTTCCACATCATACTCTTTCCTCTTATTTGGATGGAAATTATACATATATGTATATACAATATCACATTTAATTATAACTTGTATTGTATTGTACTGTATTACATTATATTATATCACTTCAATTTGCTATGATTTTCTTTTCCTTGTTTTATTTCTCTGTGTGTTTCACTTTGGGTAGTTTCCATTGCTGTGAGTTCATGTTTACGAATATTTCTTCCACAATGACTAATATGTTGTTAATCCCAAACTGTATATTTCTTATCTCAGATAGTGATAGTTTATTCATCACTAGAATTTCTATTTGGGTCCTCTGTATCTCTCATGCCTCAACTTAACATTTGAATATAGGGAACATAGTTATAGTCTCCTCGTCTGCTATTCTAACGTATGCATTGGTTAGTTTTGGTTGTAATTTTTCCCCTAATCATAGGTCGTATTTTTCTAATTACTTCTTTGCCTATTAATCTCTGATTTGATGTTTGAAATTATAAATTTTATTTTGTTGGGTGATGGATAATGTTTGCATTCCTGTAAATATTTTAAAACTTTGTTTTGGGATGTAGCTAACTTGCTTGAAAATAGTTTGATTTTTTTTTCAGTTTTGCTCTGAAGATTCATTTATCAGGATGAGCACAGTTTTTAAGACTTGGACTATTTTTACCCCACTATGGAAGTAAGGTCATTCTGTGTGTCTTACCCAGCCACTTCGAATCTGGAGTTTTCATGTCTGGCTGGAAAGTCACTATTCCCTGTGGCTCGCTACTGTTTGTCATTCTGTTGCCAGCTTCAGGCAGTCTCTTTACATGCATGCACTGGCCAGCACTGCTGAAGGGTGACTTCTGCACTTCACCAGAACATTCCCTTATGCAGTTCACTCCTCTCTGGTACACATACAGTAAACTCTAAACTTTCTTCTCAGTATTGTTTCCTCAACAAGTAGTTTACCAGGCTCCAAGTGTGTTCCCCTGCCCCTGTGCTGTGATTGGGAAACACTCTCAAAGCTGCAAGCAGACAGCTGTCTGCCTTTGTTTTCCATGTCTTTTTGTCTGATGTTCAATGTCTTAAAAGCTGTTGCTGCTTATATTTTTTTCTGATTATTTGGTCATTGTAGGTGGGGGAGGGGAGGGGAGTGGTTCTGGACTCTATTAATTCTTGTTGGTCAAAAACCAAAGTCTCTCTGGTCTCCCTGGTGGCCAGTGGTTAACTCTCAGCACTATCACCTCTATGAACTGAGTTCAATCCCTGACCAGGAAGGTGAACCACATTGTGCAGTAGACCTGTCTCACCCACTGCTCCCCTTAGCAGTGTATTTTAGTAAATATGTCTGTTCTGCTACCAGCTTTGTCTCTGGTGAATTCTCTTACACCTCTGCACCTCTGGCCTACACCCCAGTTTTTCTACACAAAAAATAAAGACAAACAGGGCCTCCCCTGGTGGCGCAGCAGTTGAACACTGGGCTGCGGGGCTGCCCACAGCCTCTGCAGCGCCAGTTTGTTCCCGGGCCGCTGGCAAGGGTCCCACCAAAAAAAAAAAAAAGACAAACACACAACAATAACAAAACAAAGTCTCTATGCACATGATATAAATGACTGAAGCATCTTAAGGTAATGCCTTAGGGAGTGGTAGAGACTATAGGGAACTGGGCTAGCACAAGCCCCATTAAAATGAGTGCAGATGCTAAGATCCAACCAATGTTGCCACAGTAGAAAATGAACCCTAGTTGAGGACATCACCTGTTTGTTTCTAGAGAGGCTGGATTTTATGGAACATTTCTTGATTTTAAAACTATGTGTACATCAAATTTAGTATGCCTGCAGACTGGATCTTTTCTACCAGTCAGCAATTCTGACCGCTGTGTGTTAAGTTCTCTTTTTTACATAAACTAAGATCTTTTTCCTAGAGCATCACAATTCTGTAGTCATAGAAATGTTCTATATCTGCACTCTCTAGGATAATAGCTCATGTGGACACTGAATTCTTGATATGTGGCCTCTGAAGAGCTGAATTGATAATTAAATTTAAATTAAAATAGTGGTTAGAGAAAACCTTTGGGAAGAATAACCTGGCCCTGGAGGGAGGTAGCACCAAAGGCAAATCCTTATTCCTGTCTTTTCTTCCAGAAGAGGGAAACCTAAGAATCATGTTTCCTATACTGAACTACTCTGGCAGTCCTATGTACTTGTGAGGCCTCCCAACTTCCTACTCCCTTCACCTATTTTCCTTTTATCATTACAAGCTTCAAGACTCTTATAACAAGAGAAGGGACATCAGAGAATGTCCACATTAGAGATCTCAAATTGGTGATCCCCAGACTAAATTTAACCCATAAGTATGTTTGCTTTGGCTTTATTTGAGCCAACACTGAAAAATAGAATTGAATTACATAAAACCTCTATTGCCAGCTATTGTTAAAAATCTAAAAATTGGGCATCATTGGGTCCACATTGACTGGAGCTGAGCAGATGCTACTCTTTCTAGATGGAGCATGATTCTGATTTGCCACAATCTCCACCACTCCCTATTGTTCACCAAAATACATTTTGGTGTTGATTATCTTTTTAAATCATCACAATTGTGCTATCATTTTTAGAGCTGAGAAATAGTTCTCCATTCTAATGTTTTATTCATGGTGGTAAAAATGAAAGAGAAGTAATTGTAAATTGCTTTGTTATTTTTCAACCCTCCCATTTTACATATTTATATGTAAATATGTTCATATTTACAGGATCCATATGCCTGGTTCCTGTATGCATAAACATTTGTGACACCTTTAATTGAAAAAGTTAAAATGCACAGCGTGATATGCATGCTGCATCTTCCCATTTCAGCACCCATGTCAGATGTCAGTAATGGATCATGCCCCACTTTTCTCAAGATTCTCCACAATACAATGCCCATGACAGCCATTACCAAGCAGCCAGTATCGACAAACTGATTGTGTCTATCAATATTGCTGTCCTTCATCTCATCAAACTTTCTCATTTTGCAGAGCTGAAACTGAAGTTCAGGAAACTTAACCAACCACTGAGTCAGTGATGATGCCATGATGGAATTTCAGGTCTCTTGACTCTGGTGTTACTTTCACAGGCTCAATCATTCTACTAATGAGGGAGGAAACAACTTAATGCAGAGTTGGGCTTGTCTTTGGTAAGAGCAGCCAACATGCCGGCTGGGCTGGACCTTTTACTTCCTTCCCCCAACATACCATACTTCCTACTCGATTTCCTATTTAAAACCAACAGTGGTTGATAACTAATTCAGCTACCTGGATCACTTCTTATTTGAAGTTCTGCTCTCCAAATCACCTGAAGAATCAGGGGAGTACTTACGGCATCCGCAGTTTAGGGAACTTCTGTATGTCATTTTCTGTTAGGTTCTGAAAGGAAGACACCACTGGTTACAACCCACAGAAAGGGCTCTGGCCAGGTGAGTAAGGTGTGAATAATAGGGAGTGGTGGGGAGTGTGGCAAACTGAAGAGTTCATCCCCATCCATCCACCCAGCGGGTCACTGCTAGATGGTACATAAAAGTCTGTGGGCCTAGTATGTCCAGATAGACTTTTTCAAAAGGGTCCCCAAAATCTAGATTTTGTGTGAAATTTCTTGAGTTCTAAATATTGACAAATAACTAAAACTGAGACTAAGAAACACTATGAGAGCTAAATCTGTGGTGCCAAATAGAATTTGTTTTGTAAGTTGAATGTGGCATAGTGTGGCCTTTCCCTTAGGTTCTTCCCCTAGACTTCAGTGCCCTCTCTGTCTCTATGTGGGTGAGTTGAGAGCATCCAGTCCCCAAAAGGTGCCTGTCTATCACTCCATTATCGCACCCAGAAGCTACTCTTAGCAGTGTTCTTGGTAGAAGTCACTAGATGTAAGGATGCAATGAAGAGACCTTCCTGAGGCAACCAAGAGAGGAAAGGAGAAAGAAACTCATGTTTGTGAAGAAATGATTCTAGGCCTCTACTTTTTTTGTGTGTGTGTGGGGTGGGGGGACCCTCACCAGCAGCCAGGGAATGAACCGGTGCTGCAGAGGCTGCAGGCAGCCTCGCAGCCCAGCACTCAACCGCTGTGCCACCAGGGGAGGCCCTAGGCCTCTACTTTAAGGCACCTTGATTAATATTTCATCAGTCCTGGGATGTGGGAGCTTACAACACTCCCATTTTATAGAAGAGAAAACTGAGGCTTGGGAGGTTAAGGTAATTTCAACTTGTAGGTGGTAGAGCTAGGGCCAGAGCTCTGCTTGCTGTCATCTATAGTTTACTTTCCTTCTGAAGGTTTCTCTCCTCTTATGTCTGACTCCTGTAAGGGGGCTGGTGGCCTATGTTGGAGGAGAAAGGTGAAAGAAAATGTCTTGAAAGGAGGAGAGACAGAAGTGAAAAAATTGGGAAAGAAAAGGCAGTAGGCATACTTTCTATAGAGCCAATGCTGAGCCAAAGCAGGTGCCCCACTGACATCTGGAGGCCAGAAAGTCTGGTGGTTAAGGTAGAAGGTTAAAGTCCACAGGCTGGTTTGACTCTTAGTTCATCCACTTAGCAGCTGTCTGATTTGGGGCACTTAGCCTCTCTAAGCCTCAGTTTCCTGATATGTAAATGGGCATCTAATAATAATTTTAATAATAATTCTAATAATTCTAATAATTGTGGCCATGGCACCTTTCAGAGATCGTGAGAATTGAATGAGATGATGAGTTTCATGCACATGGCACCATGCCAGACACAGCACCACCTGGCTCCTGCAAGTATGAGCTTACACACTGTGTAAGTGTGAGGTGGGGGAGGTAGGTGAGTAATGACTACCTTCAGCAGCAACAGCAGGGTATGGGCGGGGGCGGGGGAAGATTGGTCTGGCTGGCTTTTGGAGGTTGAGATGTTTGCTTTTATTTCTCTGGGCTGGGAGCTTGGCAGATTGTATGCTGCCACTGGGAAGAGCTGGCAAACTTCCCTTTGAGCCCAGCTGGCACAGGGGCTGGGGCTCCAGCTGTTGAAGGCGGAGTCTCCTCCAGCCCCTCGTTAGACCATCTGTGGCAGGGCTGGGGCCTGAGAAAATTAGGATTTTGGTATAGATTCTTAACCTCTTTTTCTTTCCTTCCTTTTTTTTTTTTTTCTTTTCTTTCTTTTTCTTTTTTTTTTTTTTAATATCACTGAACATTCCTGTCTCCTCCCTCCAAAGGGCAGGAATGAGTGAGGGCTTCCTGAGGGGAGGGGGTTGAGGGGGAGGACAGGCTGGCCCTTTGTGTTTTGCTGAGTTGAGAACATGGGCCACGGGAACTTCAGGAAGACTGTGAGGAGGAAGGTAGATGTGAGAGTGGTTGGAGACACTGAGGAGCAGGATCCTAAGGAAAGAGAAAGTAGTTTAGAGCAGGGACAGGACCTGGGAAGCAAAAGGCAAGATGTTCAAAAAGGTCATTACGAGGGTTTGGTTACGTGATATAACCTCCTGCTCCGGCTCCTTCAAAAACATTTAGCAAACTCTGGGTTACTTGGACGGTGACTCAGGGTTAAACCTGTGCCTTTGCAGGGTGGTTATATGCCCAGGAAGCCTGAGGAGAGAAAGGAAAGCTGCACATTGGACCCCTTCTAAGGAGGAAATATGGAAGACACTTTAGCTTGATCATTTGACAACATCCAGTTCCTCCATTCCCCTTGCTGACAGACCCTAGAATTTTTTCAAAATATGGAAGACCCTACCTTCCCTCACAGATGGCTGATGTCACTGAACTCATTTGTGGCCAGTGAGCAATAATCTGAAGGCTACTGGAAGGAGCTTCTGGAAAAAGTTATTATTTTTCTAAAAATAAGAGGGAGTGTCCTCCCTGGTGGTGCAAGGGGTTATGATGCCACCTATGAAGCTATCCTCAGCCTCTGCAGCATGAGTTCGATCCCCCACCAGGGAGCAACCCACATGGCACAACAGACCTCTCCTGACTCGCCCGCTGCTCCCCTCAGCAGTGTATTTCAAGTAGATCCACCTGTTCTGTTCCCCACTCTGTCTCTGGTGAATCCTCTCAACCCCCCACACCTCTGGCCTGTACCTCAGTTCTTGTATGCATAAATAAATATTTTTAAAAAATAAGAGGGAGTGAGCATTCTCCATGCACTTTGGTATCTTTTATTCTTTGTCCCCACCCCCGCCCCACTTCCTCCTGCCTGGAATGCAGATGTGATACCAAGAGACAGAGCCGCCAAACTGCAACCACAAGAACAGAAGGTGCCGGCTTATTCCATAGACTACATGGGTGCTGGGTTCCTTCTCGGCCCACCAGCTCTGAGCACCCACCTCTAGACTTCTCACCACTTGAGAAAACTACACCCCTACTTGGTTAAGCCACTGTGGTCAGGCTTCTGTTACATGCAACCATGTGTCTTTCTTACTGACGGTTTCCTCCATTTCTTCAACCTTCTGGAAGCTTGGCGCCACCATTCGCCACCAGATAAAGTCCCACTTTTCTCACTAGAAAACTAAGGTGGTGGCAAAAGATACTCAAGGGACTTGCTAAAGAAGAAAGGAAGGAAGAGGAAGGGAATGAAAGAATATAACAATGAGGAGGAGGAAAGGGAGGAGAGGTAGGAAGAGAAGGAAGGAGGAAAGGAAGGAGACTAGGGTGTGCATCTCCACCATCAATAGCAGAATGGTTGGGGCTATTATAGAACTAGAAAGAGTTATAGAGGAGTCATTAGAGCTCGGGAGAGAGCTCAAATTGTACCCAGTGCACAGGGAGTGGAGAGTGGGATTGAGCAGAAGCTGCCTTTAAATGCCTCAGGCATTTGTCCCCTCTGCTCCCCTGGGCCCAGGAACCCCTCTGTCTACTTGTTCCTGCTCTGAGGGACAAGCAGGTGCCAGGGTTGGAGCAGAGGAGATAAACCAGCTCAGACACCATCTCTCGATCAAGGCATCGTGCTCAACCAACACCTGGGGCTCAAAGGGGTTTCTGGGGAGACTTACAGAGCTGGAAGGACTGTCAGCCAGGGTGAACAGGTCCATGTGCTCAGTCAACAGAGGAGGAAGCAAGGAGAGGCTCAGGGAAGGCAAGTGCTTGTTTCAGTGCTTGAACATCATGCTCGAGTATGTCCTGCTCCCTTTCCACTCGGCCCTGACATGCCCTGTTCTCAGTGCCAAAGGCTCCAGAAGGAAAGATTCAGGTTTGCCAGGGCTGACCAGGCCAACAACAAAACTCCAGGAATTCTATTGGCTTAAAGTTCAGTGTAAAGAGAAAGCATTCTTAAAACCATAGGCACCGCTAGACTAGATGTGTTCAGTCCCTTTACTATTTGTGTGACTTAGCCCCATTTATATCACACCTCTGGACATGTTTTCTCATCTGCCAGTGTGGTGACTAGAGGCTTCCTGAAGACACTTTTATGTGCAGAATTAACTGATATAAGGCAGAAATCACATCTTAGTCACCTCTATCCCCAGCATATGACATGGGCTAGTGTGCAAAAGCACTTGTCACGTGAATGAATGGGGAGAGATGAGGGATTTAGATGGGACGGTGACATGTCTTGTGGGGCACATGAAAGCAAAACTCAGAGCAATGGCAGCACAGGTTTGGGCTCAGCCTGAGACCTCAGGACTGCCAGAAAGCAGCAGATGGCACAGGTGGCAGTGAGCTCACTGTTGCTGAAAGCAGCTGTCAGTGGCAACAACACCGGAAATGGACTGGTGTGTTGGATAGAAAACTACAGCATGTGATGTCTTCTGGTCCCTTATGACCTCAGAGTCTCAGGGTCCAATTCCCTCACAGCTGCTCAGCAGGTCTTGCTGGGAAACAGCCTAGCTTTCTCTCCTCACTCTGAATCCAGATTTGGAACATAAACCCCAGGAGACCTTTGAAGTCTTGTTCCCACTTCATTTTCAAATTTTCTTTTAATTTTTGGGGTTACATTTCACTCTCCATAGGTGCATATGTTCTACTCACCCTCCACCAAACCAGCCATGCCCACACCCCTCATCCCTCCTCCAGCACCTCTTCCCTTCCCACCTCTGTTCCCTTTGGTGACCATTATATTCTTTCACGGAGCTCAAGCTTGATTCCCACTGTATTTTGCCTGTGGATGTTTTTTGGTTATCTACATGCCACAGATGAGTGAAACCACCCAATATCTGCCTTTCACTTTTGACTTTACTTAACATAATGTGGAGGGACAAGATGGGAAGGGTGTGTTATTGCAGTCAGGGGTTCTCTTACCCATAAGCAGAGATGCCATTTCAGGGGACTGGTTCAGATACTTCCCCAGCCACTACCCCTGTCCCCATCGGCCTGCATCCCATCCCACTTAGTGACTTCGCCCTTCCCTCCCATCACAGGGTGGTCTTATACTTCGCTCATTTAGATCTCTTTGCTCTGGAATGGAGTGACGTGAACCATACCACATATTACATATCACAAAGCCAATTATGTGGATTTGGTAGTGAGAAGAGGTAGAAGTGAAATAATGAGGGTGGTCTACTCTATTCCTTTCAGTGTGTTTATACTGAGAGATGGGGAAAAATAAGCTTCTGCTCTTCTATATGGCCTTTTCCCCCTGGGCTTCTCAAAGTATGAAAGTGTTGGCTTAGATCTTTCACAGTGCCTGTGCACCTGTGTGTATGTACTTAAATACCTGAATTCCTCCTGATCTTTTGACTTCAGAAGGTACTTTGGTATCAGTAAAGGATCTGGGAGGATAGTGATTGGTGATGAGAGTGAGGTCTTACAAACTCTTGGAAGAAGGCAAAGGGCTGTGTGGGGATCCTGAAGATAGCCACGGATCCCAGGCAACTCCAGAGACACAGCCTGCACTCTGGCCCTGCAGCCATTGTGGAAAGAGCAGAACAGCTTGGTGTCGTTGTATCAAGCTGGCCAGTGCTTACCAAAAACCGTGGCCCATCAATGTGGTGCTTCTTCACTGCTTTTTCACAGTCCTTGTAGTTCAGCTGCAAAGAGGAGGGGAAGCCGCTGTGAGTGGCAGGCAGGCCCATGCCATTGGTTCCCCTCCCTTGCCTGCCCCAGAAGCTTAGCAATTTGTGGTACTTGTGGCTAGCCAGCCACAAGTACCTGTCCCCCTGTCTAACAGAAGGGCCCCATACCTACCTCAGCCTGCTTTCACTAGTCCCTTGGGACTCTGAAATGGAGAACTTGCCTCAATCTGCAGCTTTGGGACCAGCCCCTACAGATAGACAGTACCTTCCAGGCTACAAAAGACTGGCTCCTCAGGGAAGGAGAGGAGAGCTTAAAGAAGAAATAAATTGCCTCCACTGTTGCACTATCCAAAGGCAACTTGGAGAACATTGTGAGGTGTTTGTTTTAATGCCTTCTAGGCATATTTCTAGACAGGCCTGACTTTTTCTCTTAAAATGGTGATACAAACACTCATTATCACAAAGTTATTTTAATTTAATGACTCCCTGATAGCTGAATATTTATGTTGCTTACCAAACTAATGTTCCCATAATGGCAAATTGCAAACAATGACTGAATATTTGCTATACGGCAGGCACAGTTCTAAGTGTTTAAACCCATCTTAAACCCAAGTCATATAATGCCCATATTTTTTTCAGATTGGGAAGTTAAATGTGTGGCAAGTCAAGTAACAGGCTAAAGTTCCCTGGGCAGTAGGTGACAGAGACAACTGGGTTCAGAACAAGGCCCTGATGTCTCTGTTGGGTCATTCTCCTTTTTTTCATTAATAATAATGTAATTTACATACAGTAAGTAAAGTGAACAAATTTAAGTGCAGCATAACATACCATTCTGATCAAAATATAGGACATCATGGATCTCCTTTTACATACTTTCTTCCCTCTATTTTAGATAAATTGTTGAAGCAGGAGTCTCAATACATAGTTATAGAGGAATGAACATTTTCAGGGTCTTGCTTGCTCCAAAAAAGTGACATCAATGGGGCCCTCCCTGGTGGTGCAAGGGGTTAAATCTCAGCACCATGAAGCTATCAGCAGCCACTGCAGCATGATTTTGATGCTGGCCAGGGAGCTAACCCACATGGCACAGCAAGACTTCTTCTGTCTCGCCAGAGGCTTGGCTCCCCTCAGCAGTGTATTTCAGTAGATCCACCTCTTCTGTTCCCTGCTCTGTCTCTGGTGAATCCTTTCACACACACCCCCCACCCCCGCATCTCTGGCCTGCACCCCAGCTCTTGTATGCATAAATAAATAAATCTTAAAAAAGTAGAGTTACATCAATGGACAATCCTATCAGCTGCCCATTCCCCTTGTCCTCAACAGCATACGCAGCTCTCTAAATTCGATGTTTCAGGCTGCAGCACCAAAGATTAAATGTTTGTCCTTGGGAATTAGGTTCCCCTCACAAGTATGGGTTAAGTTTATAGCAGCTTTTTTTCTGGAGACAATTAAAAATCATGCTCATATCTATGACCAACAAATCAAAAAAGTGAATACAACTGCTGTAATCTGTTGGCTTGAAAGGATAAGATGATTATTAGGAAGCTTAGGAAAAGCTGATTTCAGAGGTCAGCGTGGAAAGTAAGTAGCATCTGAGGGCTTGGACATTCCTTCCATCTACATGCAGTGTATGGGGATAACTGGGTCTTGGAATATGCCTTTAAGCCTTTGTTTTCAGTGTCATCATTATCGAAGGAACACCTGATTCCTTATAGCACTGACTTCAACTCTAGATAGACTAGAAACTACCTAGAGGTTTGCTTCCGATCCATTAACATTTGGGGCTAAGGGCTAAAATCTGTATTTTTGAGGACAGAGATGATTCTCATGTGCACCCAGGGTCACTAGGCAATAGCCTAGAACAACTGCCTGGTGTTGTAAATGGGACAGTTGAGGCCCAGAGAAAGCAGGAAATTGACCTAAGATCACACAGTGAGTTGGGAACACTGCTAGGATTAGAACCCATGACTCTGAGTCAGTGCCTCTTCACTGCATGGCTCAGGGATGCTCTCCTGCCAAGTCAGAGGAATTTGAGGAGCAACAGAAACACAAAACAACCTCTCTCAGAGACTCACATACATTCCACACACATCTGAGAGTAAGACACAAAGACACGCTGGTCTGTTAGTGACCCCACTAAGGTCCAGTGAATAACCCAGGAAAAAGGAAAGATTGAACATGACTATGAACTGGCCTCCTTTCTACTAAATGCTTCACACACAGTATTTCCTCTCATTCTCCCAACAATCCCATGAGGTTAGTTACTGTTAGAACCCCTACATTACTGATGAGGAAGATGAGGCAGAAAGGTAACTAAGCGAATGTCACCCAGGTAGTAGATCACAGAGCTAGGATTCAAACCAAGGTGTGTCTGACCCCAGAGCTGGCTGGGGAGATGTCTCCAAAGAAACTGGGCCCTTCTGCTTCATTAGAAATTGTATCCCAATCCATCCTTTAAACAGAACACCATGGATAAGCATCAACCCCACAGTCAGTTCACTTGGAATTTCCCCTCTTGGGGGCAGAGTTTCTTGGAATTTGAAGGGTCTCTTCCTGAATCTCCTGGGAGCTACCACTTGCCAGGTCACAGATTCCCCTCTGTCTCTTTGTTCCTACCATCCGTTCTTTCAGACTGGAGGGGGTAACCTGTCCCAGTGCCATGGACATGTCCTGGGGTCTGCAGTCTCCAAGAAGAGAACCCCCCTTCTCCCAACTCAGGCAGTGAAATGTCTCCCTGAATCGTCCCCAACAGCCATCTCACTGCACAACGGAGAATGTCACCCAAGGATTCTTCCATTGTTTGGCTGGATTGTGTAATTCTCCTTTTCACACTTGAAAATGTGGCTTGTCTGTGTTTCTCAGGTCATTCCCCAGTTTCCTTTAGTAATTCTCATTTTTTTTCTCCTTTTCTGGTTAACATGTCATTTTAGAACAGTTTGACAAATTCCACCTCTTTGCCCTCGTTTATTGGTCTACATTTAAGGAAAGTATTTAGAAACATTCCCCAGAAGTCAATAGTCCAACTACTTTTGCACCCACAATCCTGAAACCTAAGTTTATCATGCTCCTTTGGAGGAAAAGTAACAGGAATGAGATCCACAAAAAAGAATCAAATAACAGAACTCTGTGGGCCTTGCCTCTCCTATGCCACACCCAGTTCACATTTTTCTTCTGTAAGCTGAGGGACAGCAGCTGTGACCATAAATACTTGGTACTGTAGCCACCCCATATCTGGCTATGTGTCCTGTGGACTCTGTCCACACTCTTGGGACCCAGATTCCCCAGGAAAAATAGAAAGTTGACTTAGATGACCTCTATGGTTTTGACTTCAAAACCTCATCTTTACAATGATCTGGAATGTCAACTGAATGGGGGTGTTAGAAGCTCAAAAGTCCTGCACAAGTTATCATAGTCCTTGGACAAGGATACAGGGTCCCGAACTCAACAGATGAGTGGCTTGTGGTCTCACCAGCTGGTGGCCCAGCACAGGATCCTCCATCTCCAAGGATGGAAGGCAGTTCTCTGGTCTCAGCTTTGCCCCAAGCTTGGCTTCTGCCCCTGCCTGGCTAAACCTCTTCTTCTATAGAAGCCTCAGTTTCCCTACCTAGAACCTAGGGCTCCTATCAGTTTTAAGTTCTGCTCTCTTAGACTTGCATAGAGGCCAGTGAGATTCTGTCCCACATAAGTGCTTGAGGAGCCCACTTCCAGACCAGCAGTGATGACTGCTCAGAAGCCATCTCCAGCACAGTCACTCAAAGCTGGCTCCATCCAGGGGCCTCCCTGATGGCGCAGGGGTTAAAAACAACACTATCAAACAATAGACAACCACTGCAGTATGAGTTCAATCCCCCACCAGGGAGCAACCCTCATGTATATCAGACCTCTCCTGCCTTGCCTGCTGCTCCCTGCAGCAGTGTGTTTCATTCGATCAGCCTGTTCTGCTCCCCACTCTGTCTCTGGTGAATCCTCTCACCCCCCACACCCCAGTTCTTGTATGCATAAATAAATAAATCTTAACAAAAAAGCTGGCTCCATCCCTCTAATTTCCTTTTCCTTCTCCAGCCCCAGTTGCTTATAAACTTCTCCATTCCTCCCCTGTCTAGCAAATAGCCTGATCTCAGTGACTTCAGCAGTTCTGAGTCTCGGAGCATGGACTTTAAAACCAGTCAGGCATGTCTGGAATCCTGCCTCAGTCACAAGTAGTCCCTGGGGTTTTGGGCCATCTCACCAACCTGAACTTATTTTGTAGCTGAGCCCAGGGGACAATACTGAGAAGCATTAAATGGGACAGGGCTCAGAGACATACTCTCAAGCCCTTGTGCATAGTAGGTCCACGTTCATTTGAGGGTTCCTTTCTCCCCAGAACACTCTGTGGGAACACCCAGTGCTGTGTCTACACGGCACTTGCCCAGCTGGCGAGGTGGCCACCGGGTTGGCATTCCATTGCTCTCAGGTTCTGCTTGGACTCCATCTTCAAGCCTCTGCCCAGACCACTGACAGCTCCACCGGCCACACCACCCACAGAAGAGCCAGGCTCACCTTTCTGAAATAGTCCGCAAGGTTGTCGGTGTCCCAGGTCAGGACCTCTGAGCGAAAGGGCACATTCCTCAATGCCATGGCTGCTCTCCTGCGATAAAGCTCACAAGCCAAGCATGGGTGCTGCACCCATGGAGAGAAGACCCCAAATCCAGAGTGTTGAGCTGTCGTTGGGTCTTCCAATTTCCAGTTACCCCCCAGAGCAGCCTTGGAGCCGATGCTTCTTCTGCTGTAACCAGATCCCAGAAAATAACAACTTCCCCTGTGAACAAATATGGTCTCTTCTCAGAAAACGACTCAGCGAGTTTCCTTTACCACTTCCTCTGCTGGGCTCTAAATAAGTAAACAAGGAAGCCCAGCGTTGGGGACTGGAGAACGGAGAGCGGGGCAGAGTTGGTAATTCCCCACTGGCCAGCCTTGTGGAAGGGACAATGAAGAGGACTTGTACTCCCACCGGGAAACCAAGTACATGTCCATGCAAACTCCTGGCGGGCATGTCTACACCACATCCCTGCATGCCTGGGCATTTGAAGATGAAAATCTGCTTTGACGGTTGACCTAAAATATAGACAACTTCACACATGAGTGAGCTGCAGGGGTGAGGGGAGGGGTAGGAGCATGGCTTTTTAATGCTTGCCAACCATCCTTCAGTCTTTCTGAAAAGGATAAAGTTGAGATTCCTTTAGCTGCCTCCTTATGGTTACTACAAGAAGACTCACCAAGAGTAAGGGTCCTGAACTCGGCAGATGAGTGGCCTGTGGCCCTGCCAGCAGGTGACCCAGCACAGGACAGCAGCTCTCTGGTCTCAGCTCTGCCCCAAGTGTGGCTTCTGCCCCTGCCTGGCTAAACCTCTTCCTGTATAGGAGTCTCAGTTTCCCTAGCTAGAACTTGAGGCTCCTATCAGTTTTCAGATCTGGTCTATAAGAACACCCAGGGCTGCAGAAGGTGCTGACTGGGCAGACATTGATTTAGCATCTGATATGGCACTGCGGATGCATGGTATGATTTTCAGGTAAAGACCTGAAATCTGGGTATCTCCATTACCATATCTGTAAAGCAGGAAAACAGATAAATGTAGAAGCATTTATCTAGACAAAAGCAAAAGGAAAAAATTAAGAAAAAAGAATATCAATTGCTATCAAACTACCATATACTGAATTCACTAGGCTTTCCACCACCTGTTCCATTCTGTTGTATTGTATTGTATTGTATTGTATTGTATTGGATTGGATTGTATTGGATTGGATTGGATTGGATTGAATTGAATTGTATTCTATTCTATTCTATTCTATTCTATTCTATTCTATTCTATTCTATTCTATTCTATTCTATTCTAATTTCCTCCATGTAGTCCATCCAAACAGCATCTTCCTGGGACTGGTCCTGTGATAGAAGATGAGAAACTGCTGTTTTCTCAGTCAATCTCAGACCCTGCGCACTTCTCAGAGTCTTAGCACCTTACTGGAAGTGGGTATGTCTAAATGCAAACTAATCTGTACAACGTTGCAGCTTCTAAACCCACGCTCACCATTTTATTTAGTGTTTCACACATACACGCACACACAACCATCTGTTCTGACGCTGGAGGAAAAAGCTGAGTTCTGTTGTACTGAGTGATGCTATTTAGGGTCTGGAGGTAGTGTCTTCAAGAAACACATTCAAGGGTAGCTCTGGCCAAGCACAATTTTCTGCACAACCTGAGGAGCCCCACCAGCCTCACCAGGTGATTGTGCGCTTACCTGAGACCCATGTTTTATCCAGGTCCAGCACCTGTATGGAAATGCTCCGCAAACTGGGTGGAGCGCTCCTCCTCACAGGGCTGGTACCACAAACTCTCAATAATTTCCCTTCTCGATAAAGCACAGCCATGCTGTTTAAAAACACCACCACTGAGAGAGGTGGGAGAGGTCAATATGCTTTTCAAATCACCAGGATGGTGTCAATGATAAAAATCAGTAGAAAAGAAAAGAAGAAAAAGAAATCACTTTTAAGTTGGACAAGAGGTCATGGAACTAGGTGGAATTTAAACAAGGCCTTCGAAGATGCAGTGAAAAGAGGCCATGCTGGACATGTGCGCAAGTGTGTGTGTGTGTGTGTGTGTATGTAGACATGTGTGTGCAAGGGCATGTATGCATGGGTATATGTGGATGTGTACTTCATGAGCAAACAAAACACAACACAGGTGGAAAAAAATGTTCAAGATCATCCTTTAAAACAAAGATTTTTTTTATGAATAATGTTCATTTCTAGTCAAGAGGAAAAAAATCTGTAGAAATTGGAATTAAAGCATATTAGGCTTCTTTGGAAGAATTATCCAATAAATGTGACCAAGATAAAGAATTCATGGAGCCCAGGGAGAAGACAGAGAGGACAGTCAATAAACTTGATAGGGCCTCCCTGATGGCGCAGGGGGTTAAGACACAACCTATGAAGCAATCCACAGCCACTGCTGCACGAGTTCAATCCTGGCCAGGGGGGCGGATTAGCACAGCTGATCTCTCCTGACTCGCCCGCTGTTCCCTTCAGCAGTGTGTTTCACTCAATCTGCCTGTTCTGTTCCCCACTCTGTCTCTGGTGAATCCTCTCACTGCCCCCACACCTCTGGCCTGTACCCCAGTTCTTGTATGCATAAATAAATAAATCTTTTTTAAAAATATACTTGATAACAGTGACAATGAAGAATCATCACAGATGCGATACCTGGAATCCTTCACACGACATACAGTGTGCTATGAACTTTGCACTAATTCTTATTTAATTGTTGTACTGTTGTTACTCCTACTTTACAGAAGAAAAGACTGAGACTTGGAGAGATGAAGCACTTACCTTCTTGTTCCTGGCAAGTTGGTGGGGCAGCTGGTCTTGTCCCCAGTCTGGGTCCAGAGTCCCTGTCCTTTAACTCCCTGACACCTCAACCTAGATGTTACTCAAACGGCTCAAGGTGGAGTAGGAATTCAGACCCACTTCTGTATGTGTTCTGCCTTTGGAGGCTGTGTGGTTTCCACTCTATACATCTGTTGTCCATGAAGAGCAAGTGAGGTTGTCTGTCTGGACCAATGAGAAGAGGATGAGTATGTTCCATGAGGTAGGCCTCTGGCACTGCTGCCCCTGAGCCACAGGCCCATCCTCAGAAAGTACAGCTAGGAAGTGAGCTGGTGATGCCAGGGGAAGCTGGTGGCTTTGGGTCTAAATCTTTCCTCTTTCCCAGACTCGGTGATTTCCCAACACTCAACAGTGAGTTTCACAAATTCTGTCTCTGGTCAGAGGGTTCCAGAAACTCTGGAAGCTGGCCAATTTGCTGCCAAGAGAGGATGGACTGGTATCATCATGTTCTGGCAGTTTCACTGGGCCTTGGATCAGCTTCCTCACCTGTGAAACAGGCAATTGTAACATCCACCTCTGGGTACAGCCCTCAACTGAGGGGAAACTGCAGGGATGAAAATCAAGGCCAACACACACCACCCTCTAAAAAGCATCCATGTGCTGGCAGAAAGCATGGAGCACAGCAGGCAGTGGAGAGGTGGTAAGGTGCAGTGGTGGAAGGTCGTGGTTTGGGCAGGATGACCCTCTCCCATCTCTCCTCCAACCAGGCGGAGAAACCCAGAATGCATGATAGAGCAAAGAAAGGTTAGCAGAGGCCTTCTCTTAGACTTTGTGATGTACACTGCAAGGTTAGCAAGGGGGCAGTCAGCACAATAAGAATGATGGTGATTAGCACATGGGGTAGGGACTCCCGGGATAGGGATCTGGAGGGTGCAGCCACAGACCTGTGGACAGGAAAGCCATACTTGCAGAGAGTTATGTGTCAGATTTGTAGTCTTTGACATACTATAACCCCAGAGTAGACACTCACCCCCAGATCTTTCCCTGCCCCACCAATCCTTTCAGACTTTTTCCCTCTCTCCAATCATATATAGGAGAGAATTGTCTTTCTTTAAATTTCATATTAGAGGTAAGAAAATCATGCAATTCATTAGAAGAGGCTTGAAAGTTGTAGTTTCTGTGGGAGGCAGGGTGGGGAAAGGGTCTTAGGGACCAGGGGAGAATGGAAAGTGGGGACCTTGGAGTAGAGACTGTGTTGACATTCTTAGGAGAGGAACCCACATCATTGTTATAAGGTGCAAGGGAGGAAGTGTGTATTTGGAATTGATCTGGATGAAGGGTGTTGGCTGGGGGACAGAGAGAAAAGTGGTGGGATGTGGCCCAGAAAGTTTGTGGGCAATGGAGAGAATGTTCTTGCGTGGGTGCACCCCAGCTTCGCCTGCATGGCAAGCCTTGTTATGGCTTGACATATCTTTCAGCTGAGACTCAGGCAAATTTTTTTAGAATTCTCTTCAGGGCCTGTAGGTGTTCACCTTTAGGGGGAGGCAAGAACCACATGAGCCACCCTTACTAGGAGGGAACAATTGTGCCCTCCATTTGTAGAGCCTGGCAGTGGAAGCACCACTTGTGGAATCCTTCTGGATGGCAAAGAAATCTACCCACACAGAGGTGCTGAGCGAGGAGAGCCAGGGTCCTGACTGCTGTGCTGGGCAGGGCAGCTCCACATGCCAGGCAACCATAGACTAAGGCACAGAAGAGGTGACCCTGCCTGGGAATGGTGGGTCAGGAGGCCCGGCCGGCCATGCAGCTGTCCATCTGGCATGTGCCAGGCCATGCCACGGCACATTCTCACGGTGCTCCAGGAGGCTGTGGGTGGGAAGAGGAGGCACAGACTCCTGCCAGCCCACAGTAGCCCCTCCCCAGGCCACACTGTACTGCTCTCTCCTGACAGGCCCCAAGTACCTCTCCCATGTGAGCACAGTCCTCACCTCCTCCATCTGAGGATAAGTGTGAGGAAAGCATGCAAACAAGGCCATGAGGAGAGAGATTTTTCCACTTCCTTATCTATATATGAAAATATGATATTTCTCATTCTCTCTCTCATTATCTCTCTGCTGTTTTAACCAAGATACCTCAGAAGTTCAAAGGTGGGTGGAAGGAAGTGCTTATTTGGACTTCCTGACAAGCTTTCCTTCCTTGTGTGCCCTATTTTTGACTTCAGCTGCCTAACAGCCTATCCTCAGATAGCTCGGCCTTGAAGGGAAACTCCCCGAGTGCCCACAAGTGTGGGTGGGGTGTGGGAAGGGGGCAGGAGCGGGGAAGGCAGTCTTCTCAGTATGATAGAAGAAATCTTGCCCACCTCCTCCTCTGGCAAACTGGAAAAGGCAGAGTGGAGGTGGGGGGTGGGCAGGATGGGGACAAGAAAGGCAAAAGTCAGTTTCGGTCAAAGGGATTTTACCCACAACCCAGTCAAGGCGAGCAAGACCTGCTCCAGCTGCTATCTCCAAGCCATGGGCCCAGGACACACATACAGGCCCATGGGAACAAGCCAAGATTTGCACCTAACAAGTTCAGCTTCTCAGTTGCATGCAATCCTTCATGATTCTCACAAACCCCCCTAGATGCTGAGAGACCGATTGCAATTGACTTGCCCAAGTTCCCAGCAAATCACAGATCAGGAAGGCTAGCTCAGGGCTGTGTTGTTTTCCATCTGCCCTTCTTTGATAGTCTGTCCCTCTGTCTCCACATGCCCCTCTGCTGATGATTTTTGGTCTGGACTTTGCTGCCTCACCTACAGCCTTGGTGCATGGCCTTCTCACTATTTCTGGAACTCTCAAAGTTGATCACATCACCTGCTATGAAGATGCCTGTGTCCTGACTGCTAGTTTATATCTGATCTTCCAGATTCTTGGCCTAGACAGAAAGCATTTTCTACTATCCTGTGATGGGAGCGGCATCTTTTAGGCCTTATCAGTCCTTCACAACTTATTTTGTGCACACGTTTCTGGAACAAAGACAATGAGTCTGGAGAAGAAGGGGTTTGGAATTTGGAGAGAAAAGGATGTATCCAGAAAACACACAGTTTGTCTATCCAACCCTTCCATGAGACTTCAAGAGTTCAAGGAAATAAAACACGAGATTCTTACGTACGTAGCATGTGATCCTGTAAGTGTCTTTGTGAAAGGGGCATATAAGTGTGTCAACCATTTTAAGATGGCAAGAAAGCCTTGGGGAGAAGAGATGCTTGTCCCAGTCCTCACAGACAGTCAGAAGCAGAAGGTGGAGCTTAACAGCAGACCTGTCTGATGCTGAAACTCTTTCCACTGAAACCGTTTCCCAGGAAGCAAATTTTACTAAGTGAATAACTAGTATTTACCTAGAACAGGCATAACAACCACATTTACTATTCTATGCAAAACAGACTATTTTGTCTGAGTTTTCCTGAAATAATGATACAGTTTTCTCTCATTATAAAAAAAAAAAAAAAAAAACACAAAACAAAACAAAAACCACAAAACAAAATGAGGTTTAGCACTTCTAATGCTGGGTTAGTGGTGCAGACTCACCTAGTCCTTTGGTTGTGCCCTGCAAGTACAACACATACTGGGGACTCTGCTAGGTCTGGCTGACTGCGGACCGGAGGTGGGGGTGGCAGAGAAGAAGAGTAAAGTAAGGAATGAATGAGCAGCTCACATTCATTCCAGTCTGGGGTCGTGAAAAAGTCTGTATTCTCTCCTGTAGAGGCCCCTGGAACTGTCTGCTTCTCCATGTTCAAGGTCAGTCTTATATATATATTAATGCACTGTATCTTTCCATTAAGTTCCCTCACTGCTTCGGTTGCATTGGATTGACTTCTGCTACTTGCAAATAGTATTAGTCCATTCCAGCTGCTATAACAAAATACCACAGATGGGTGGCTTATCAACAACAGAACTTTCTTTCTCAGGGTTCTGGAGGTTGGGAAGACCAAAATCAGGGTACCAGAATGGCCATGTTCTGGTGAAGAGATCTTTCCAGATTTATAACCAACACCTTCTTGCTGCATCCATAGGTGGTGAAAGGGGAGCTAGAACTCTGTAGGGTCTCTTTTTTAATCTCTTTTTAATCTCTTTTTTAGTCTCTTTTTTTAATCTCTTCATTAATCCCATTCAGGAGGCTCCACCCTCATGACCTAAGCACCTCTCAAGGGCCCACCTTCTAATACCATCACAGAGAGCATTAGGATTTATTATGTGAATTTTTGAGAGACATAAACATTCATATTGCAGTACAATGTAAAACCCATAATTCTCCAGGATACCTACATGATTCCTCTTAAAATAGTAAAAAAAAAAAAAAAAGTCAAGAGGAAGAAAATAGAGGTGGCCTGGAATAATGAGATTGTGGACTGGGAATTGGTGAGCCCCAAGCTTGGCTCCTAATGATAATATTGCCATCAACTGAGTGTCTGCCCTTGAATTCGTTGAAAAATCTTCTTGTCTCAACAGAGGTGTGCATTAGAAAAATGTGGTCTATTTACACAGTGATACTACTCAGTTATAAAGAAGATGAATTTTTGCCTTTTGCAACAACATGGGTGACACGCAAACAATTATATGCTAAGCAAATTAAGTAAGAAGGAGAAAGACAAATATGGGATGGCTCCACTAAAACAAGGGTTGATAAAACTGAACCAATAACAAACCCTAGAAAACCTACTGTGGGGCCTCCCTGGTGGCGCAGGTGGTTGAGTGCAGGACTATGAAGCTGTCCACAGCCTCTGCAGTGCCGGTTCAATCCCCCCCTGCTGCGGAGCAACTCACATGGCAAGCCAACCTCTCCTGTCTCGCCCGCTGCTCCCTTCAGCAGTGTATTTCAGTCAGCCTGCCTGTTCTGTTCCCCGCTCTGTCTCTGGTGAATCCTCTCACCCTCACATATCTGACCTGTACCCTGGTTCTTGTATAAATAAATAAATGTTTAAAAAAAAAAAAAGAAAACCTACTGTGAAACCAAGCTGTGAATGGGGAAGGGAGGAAACATGGTGAGGGTCGGGGGTGGGGGGCAATGGACTGTGAGTGTCTTGGAGGACTACAGGTGTGGTGTGAGAACAAGCATCTGAGGCGGTGTGAGACAAAACCTCCAAATGATATACAATGTTGAAACCCAATGTTATCTCAATAAAAACAAACAAACAAATAAATAAATCTCCTCATCTTTAAAAGAGGCTGACAATACTTAATGTTCCC